ATGTATATGTACCACATTTTTTTATCCAGCCCACTTTTGATAGACAGCACAGTTGGCTCCATGTTTTTGCTATTGTGAATAGTGCTGCAATAAACATGCATGTGCAGGTATCTTTTTTGTAGAATGATTTGCGTTCCTCCTGGTTTATTTCCAGAAAGGGGATTGCTGGGTTATATCTTAATCACAAAACATGGTAATATTCAGAGATGCCCTAAAGGACTTCTTGTATTTCAGGCACACTCTTCCTTATCGCTATCTTGGTGTAGTAGTCCCATTTCTCCTTGGTAGTAAAGAGTCACCGCACCTTACCCAGCAGAGTAACTCACTTCTTTGACTGTTGATCCAGAGGCATGAAAAGCTAAAAGTGGTCAGGTGGCAGTCTTAATTTCCAGTTCAGTGAAACTATTGTTATATCTCCTGGAGGAAACGTTTTTCCCTTTGGAATTGAGACCTCTAGGCCAGAAGAGAGCATAAGGTCACAAAAACAGAAAGCAAGCCTTTTGCTAGTGAGTCACGAGAGGTAATAGTAAGGGAAACACTTTCATTTCCACCGTTGACTCCTGGCCTCGTGAATTCAACTATGGGAGAAACAGCACCATATGTTGGATGCTGATTCAGAGCACATGCAACCTTGTAGAGAACCTTGCCCCTTCTCTCTGAGGTACTGCCATCAAGGTAGTGCTGTAACTGATGCTTTAAAAGAACATTCCATTCCTCAATCAAGCCAGCTGTTTCAGGATGGTGAGGAACAATGTAAGACCAGTGAAATCCATGAGCCTAGGCCCACTGCTGCACTTATTTGCTGTGAAGTGAGTTCTTCAGTCAGAAGCAATGCTAATAAAAAACCATATGCCAGCATTATCCAGCTTATTTATATCTCTTTTCAAGAAAACCATGAACATACAGAGTAGCTGCCAATCATAGACTCATAGACTTAAAACACTCAGTACTGGAAACTTCTTTACAATATCACTGACAGCATAAGTTATGCCCCCTGTGCTTGGGCACTTCCCAGCTTGAGATCCTCACTTCCAGCAGCAGCTCTACTCTGCTTCTGTGAAGCACTCATTATTTGAAAGTATGTGCTTATATTTCAAATTATAATCTTAGCTATGCATCAACAAAAATCTCTATGTATTTATCTAAGTCTTCTATAGCCTATTAATTATATCTTAGTGTAATTAGTACCATAAACTCATTGCCTATTGGGTCAAACAATACTCAAAATATTTAATTTTGCTATCTATTATTTTAATTTCTAAATTAGTGTCTCCAGTTAATGTCTTTCAATGTATCAACAGTCAGATTTTTCTATCAATGGTCAGATTTTTCACACCAGTGTTTATCACTTACCTCAAAAATAAAGAAACACTATTAACAAAATTATAGCAATGTCAATATTATTCTAATATGATAAATGATTGTATGAATGAAAACAGCATATAACGATGCAAACATATAATAAGGCATTATTATCATGCGTGCTTAAGCTAATGATCTTTTCTCACAGGGATAATACAAATGAGTTCTTGATGGATTTATGAAAGTTTATAAAATGAAAGAAATGCATTTTATAAATATTATAATAGTTTTTATATGATGCCGGTAAAAAATACAGCTAATTTAAGATCTTAGATCTTTATATTATTTTGCTTATGGATAAAATGTTTTAAATCAAAACTATCCCAACATTAGCAGACTTGCTTAAGTCTTTGATTTAGAAATCTTTATTTTTAAAAAAATCTTTATATTTAGAAATATTAAAATAGTGTTTAGAGAATGGGGGATTGAGACTTTGGTAAATTTCATCTCTAAAATTTCTTTGACATTGTTCCAATGTTTTAAATAATATCAAAGCAATAATATCCAAATATTACAAATCAAAGCATTAAAACAAATCATTTTACATTTATCAAAAAAGTTAATGATTGCATATACATGTTCCAGAATAAATGAAGAATTTGAGATAAATAATAATTCAGAGATGTACTTGTCTTTATATAAGAGAAAATTCAATTTAAAGTGGCTTAAAATTGAGTGTAATTAAGCAAATTATGATATAATGATGCAGTGAAATACCACTCAGCAATAAAAAAAGGAATGAATCACTAGTATTCAACAACATAGTTCAGCCTCAAAAGCACACTTGTATATCTGATCCTGAATTGTACTCCATATCTTTAAAATATTTTTTAAAAATCTCAAAAGCACTGTGCTAAAAATAATATAAAATACTATATACTAAATAATTCCATTTTTATGAAATTCTGATAGAGGGCAGTGATTGCTTGGCCTGATGGGGAGAGGATTGATTGCAAATGGTCATGAGATAATTTTTCAAGCAATAGAAAAGTTTCACATTGTGATTGTGGTGATACATGACTGTATACACTTGTCAAAGTTTTTCAAATTTCACAATAAAATTTTGTGAATTTGTTGTATAGAAATTATACCCCTACCAAGCTGACCAAGAAAAAGAACAAAAGAGAAAGAAAGAAAGAAGGAAGGAAGGAAGGAAGGAAGGAAGGAAGGAAGGAAGGAAGGAAGGAAGGAAGGAAGGAAAGAAAGAAGGAAGGAAGGAAAGAAGGAAAGATTGATTCTAAAGAGGAAATTAAAAGTAACTAGACGTTTATAGAAAATCACCAACTCTAAAGGGAACAGTGAACCTGAGCCATCATCATTCCATCAAAGAGATATCAAAAGATACTTTTTATCAGAACAAAATTCTTTCTGACAATTATTCGGAAATGTTTTCTGCAGAGCTGTGAGTTAAATGTCATCTCCTGAGCTCAGATCTCTCTCTAAAGGAAGTCCTGCTGCATGGTACATTATTATTTCTCCCTCTTCTGAGTTCCAACAGTAATTATAGTCTGCTCCAGTCCCTATAGCACTACACAGTATTTTAAGTCTCTATATATGCATTTACCTATGTATACTTATTTTGAGTTCACCTGAAGGGCTCATATTAGCAGTTGTAAACATTCTTGGATGTAGTCACACTCTTTGTCTGTGAGCTGCAGTCTTCCTACTCCTGACTCTTAAAAATAACTCCCTCCAATGCTTTCTGGTCTTTCTCTTTTAGCTCACCAACAGAAAACAGACCAGATACTTTTCTATAATCAAAGTGGTTCCTCCTTTCAGATGCTAGGTCATTGCTTTATCCATCTTCACCGAAGTAAATTCATCATTCATGAGACTCCTCAATCCACAATGCAAATTGACTCCTAGTGAATTTTCTCTTTGATTCTCCAGATTGCATAGGCAGAATCCAGGCAAAGGCCCTTGTTACATGAGTATGTCTTTACCCTACAAGTTGACTCTCATCCTGAGGGCAGGATGCATTGCACTTTCAGTCTCCCTCGCTCTGCTCTCTGGGCAGTAGTTGGCAAGTACTCGATAAACATGTGCTGAATTGAATATGATAAGGCCTCCTTAGCATGAAAAAAGGACCATTTCTTACCACTTAGAGTTCAGAAGTTGGTTGAAGGTAGCAATGAGAATGAACACCAGATTTTTCCCAGCAAAGGCTGGTTGAATTGCGTTTGATGGTACTGTCAGAGAGGCATCCTTGGACTAATAGAAATAATAGAGGAAGAAAGACCGCTTCAGACACCCTAGGGGCTACCTAGCTCTCCAGTGAGGTATTTTGTTTTTATGTTTAAATATTATTTTCACTGATTATAAAAAGAAACATCCGTTCCCTTTTATCAATATTTAGTCAAGGCAGCCAAATGTGCTTAGGTTGAAAAATGCTTCTTAAATAAGTGATTAAATATGAAGAATTAGTCTCTCTTTTTTCCTTTCCTAGACTTTGTGGCATTAATATTGGCATTTTGTTTCCTTAAATTGCATCCTAAGGTCCATTTTCACCACAGCTCCTTCCCCAGATGACATTATGGTAGCCCAGACCATACTTATCTCCCTTTCTATAGATTTATATTTTCTTTTTAATTTGAATTTCTCAAACTTCAAAATCATAATTATTGAGGTATAATTGACATACAGCTAAGTTTATCCTTTTCAATCCAATTCAACATTTCTATAAGATTTGAAAAATGTACAGTCATGCAGCCACCACCACAAACAAGATATAAAATATTTCTCACCCCCCAAAAGTTTCCTCATGTTCCCTTTGCCATTCTCTACAGGTACTCTGATTTCTGTCTCTTTAGTTTTGCCTTTTTGAGGTTGTCATATAGAGTCATAAAGTACATGACATTTTGTATTTACCTTTCTTCATTTAGTTCAATGTGTTTGTGATTCCTCCGTGTTGCATATATCAATTATTTATTTCTTTTTATTGTTGAATAGTAATTCCATTATATAGATGTATATTATGATTATGTTGATTAATTTGTTTGTTTTCCTCTCCTAAAGGAAAACAAACACTAAACTTGTAGTGTGATAAGTGGGAAGAAATTTTGCTTATATCAAAGCTAGATTTTTTTTTCCATGTTATATTACCTATTGCACAATATGGTCCTTGAGAGAGTCTTGTACTTGGTATTAGACATATTTACATACCTTGCATTGCCCAGGCCAAAAGGTATTCAGAATCCATGCTGCATAAATGACCTACTGCATGTATGTGACTCTTTTCTATATAAAGTAGTTTTGAAGAGTGTTATCAGGGATTTGCGTCTCACAGTATACAATTTAAATATGTACAGTTTGTGTATGTGAATTATACCTCAATGCAGTTGTTAAAGAAAAAGCACAACCACTATTAAAATCTTATTTTTAAAACAAAAACATAAATATGTAGCTGGTATTTGTGATAGGGCTGGAGCTGAGATTTAGTCATATATGCAATGTGGAATTAACTAGCTGGAGAAGGCAGAGAATGGAAAAGAACAGAAGACAAATTACAGGAAAATATGATGGAAAAATTCTGAGGCAGATTCAGAAACAGAACCATGGGTCAGGAGGAAATAATATTCTTGAGTATGCTGTGGTAACTCTTATTTGAATGACTGGTGACCCATGTATGCATCCAGGACATGGCTACAGGTAAATCTCATGAGATTGCACAACACGTTGGGGCATATTAAAGCCATCTGAGGAATCCCTCTACGAGAATATTGGTCACAGAAAAAGTATCAGTCTCCTCATTTTAAGATTTGCAAGCAAACCTGGCACAATGATATTCAATGTTACCCAATAGACCGGAATCCACACCCATTTAGTGATGGAGAAGTGTATGAGTCTCCAAGCAACAGAGGCCAACAGTAGCCAGGACTGATCTTCAAGCACATCAAGAAATAGTTCAGGGATTGAAAGCCTGTCTTAGTCCATTTGCATTGCTATAACATAATGCCACTGATTGGATGATGTATAAAGAACAGAAATTTATTTTCTCATACTTCTGGAGGACTGGGAAATCCAAGGTCAGTCACCAGCATCTTGTTAGGGCCTTCTTGCTGTATCCTGACATGGCAACAGGCGGAAGGGCAAAAAGGAGTCAACCTCCCTCCATCAAGCCCTTAGTCCATTCATGAGGATGGAGTCCTTATCTGAGCACCTCCCCAAAGACGTTACCTGCCAACAATTGTATTAGAAATTAGGTTTCCAATATATGAATTTGGGGGGACACATTCAGATCACAGCAAAGCCCTATATATACAAAGGGGATAGAGAGAGGACATTTGGACTTGTGCACAAATGGGACCTCATTTATACTCAGAAACTAGAAAGCTGCAATTTTCAGTTTACAAATGAATGAAAGTCACTAGAGCTCTATGTACATGAGTCACAACCATAAGAAGAAAATGAACTGCACTACCATAACACCCCATGTGAAGATGTATGGTCTTAAGGGTTTTTAAAATGTTAATTCCCCTCAAATTTAAACCTTGAAAATCTTCATTTACTCACATGTCTAAAGTTTTTGATGGTACAAGCCACCTTCCATATAACTGTACTTTGTAAAGTTCATACTAAATCCGATGAAAATGTGCTTAAATATTCTGTCATCCCACTGAATGAAATAAAACAAACTGAACTTCCATACTGTCTGCTTATATACAACCATATGATTTCAGCTAGAACAAGACTTTGAGGACACTATCCTGTAATGATATTTCAAGCTCATTAAGGACAGCCATTGAGTATAGTCAGGATTGGTTCTCACCACAGTGTTTAGCTCATGACTTTGCATGTGTAGATGCTAAATAAATGAGTATCAAATGAACAAGTAAGTTACAAAAGTGAAGTGACTGTAAAATTCTCAACTTATTCCAAGTGAAGGATCATGTTAGAAATTATAAAACTTTGTGAGAAAAAGAGGTAGAAAATCTAGAAAAGAATTATGCGGGGAACTTAGTAATGGTAATAGTAACAAAACATGAAATAGGCCAACATTTGTGAACCAGGAATAGTAGCTGTTGCTTTCTCATATGGCGTAATGGGCAATGTGGAAGCAGAAAAGACTGAGATCATAATTAAGACTGAGATTCCTGGCAAAACTGAAGTTCAAAATCTTTCTAGGCTCTCCCAGCTTCACTGATGTTGTTATTCTTTTGATGTGTAAACAAAACTCCCTTGTCTGCCAGTCAAATAAATGCTAATGGTAAAATTGGCTCTGCTTGACTTTTTGATGTTAAACATTTGAAATGTGCTTCCATCTAAAAGGACAGGCTCCAATCTAAATGGTTCCATCAAAATTGCTTTAAATAAAATAAGAGTTAATGTCACTAGAAATGCAGTAAAAGTTAAATTGCAAAATGGCTGAGAATGGGAGAAACTTGACTTCAGAAAAGAATAATAGCTATCTAAAGAACCAAAGATTGTGTGTTCTTGGCAGAGGATTTTAAGATAAAAAGATCATCTTGAGTGGTCTTATGAGGGTGTCAAACTGAAGAAGACATATACTGAGTTAAAATTAGGCCTTATAGAATCCAGACTGGAGACAGGCCATGGAAAACTAAAGACATTTGGAAGTTGAAGTTATGGGGCAATGGAAATGATGAGTATTTAAAGAGGAAGCCAGTCTACAGAGAGGAGAATAGAGTAGGTACACACAGAGAAACAAAGCCAAGGACTCGTACATTCCCTAAAAGTTGCATAGAGTGGATTATAATCTTGTTTTACCAGTCTCCACTTTAGGTACATGAGACCAGGCTGTAATTCATGTCTTTGTGTTCTCAGAAATTTCATCCATTCTTTCAATGATCTATTCTTTGACTTGAGCTAGTTTAAGTAAGATTTTTTTTTCCTCCTCAAAAAGTAACTGATCTCTAACTGGAATGTCCAAATTTTCCAGACAGACAGCAGAGTAGTAGACAACCATAAGCAGTCTTTATCCCTTATATGACACTTTCATATATAAATAAACAAATAAATAAAATAAAACCTAAAGTATAAATGAACAGTGTTTCCCCTTCACTGAGCTTTTCCATGTTCTAAGGAATAGACATCTTAACTTCTTCTTTTCTTGGGTTTATTTTAACACATTAAGACATTAGTCATTTGTTGAACAAGTAGGTTTATTCATTAGTGGAACAAATATTTACTGCACATCAACTCTGTATCAGGCCCTGTTTTAGGAACTGAGAGTAAAGGAAGTTAACAACATATGCTCATTGTGCTTAAGGATCCTCCAGAGGAGAGATAGATGCATCCTAAATGTAGTCTAGTACAAGGAACAGAAATCTGCTCAAGCTAGGTTGAGAAAGAAAAGCTGTTGAAAAATACAGGGACATTCCAGAGAGGAAAATAGACTAGGCATTTCATGGAGTTAAAAGTATAAGGGGCAACTAGATCTCATACTCTCATACATGACTACAAACAATATAAAAAAGAGACAAAGAACTAAAGCAAGCTCTCCTCTCTTTCTCTCTCTCTCTTATGCATGTACACCTCATTTTCTGGGTCTGGTATCTCTGCATCTCTTTTCTATGAATAACGCAGATTGACTTTTTCGATGCTTATTTAAAAAATGGTTGTCCCAACTGAATATGACTGCCTAGTCCATGTGGTCAGCAACGATTCTAGAATTTCTATATTATGAATATAAATCCTTGGGAGAAAAAATTGATTTGTCCAGCTCAAGCAAGGAGTCTGTCCTCATGACAAGGAGATGGGGTAATGTGACTGAATGACTTCTGCATGGAAATCAGGAAAGATTCTGGGAAAGCCCTATGAACAGAGCTGGCAGATCACTTTGCATGTCTGTCACACACAGGAAAACAAATAAGGCCAATCAAATCTAGCAGAATGAAGTATGAATAAAAATCATAGGCATGTTAATGGGTCCAGGGATCTAGGGAACATAAAATCATTTTATGTATTTATTTTGTTAGTTTGTTTTTAAGTTGGAAGTGCCTCTTTTACTTCTGGAAATTCTGTATCTGAGCCAGTGCTCAGAGATTGTGGGTGAATTAAGCTCAGTGGACTCTGAGCTTTACTCGGTCATGCATGGAATTACCGGGTAACATTGAGGATTCATTGATTACTTCATTTCTGATTTTCCAGGACTTACATAGAATTTCACATTTACCACTCTTTTCAAGTCTAGGGAGAAGAATGTGAAACTGTTAGGAAATTCATTTCAGCGCAATAACTATTCATTAGAAACTTGTTATTTACTAGGTATGAAACTAAACTCACCAGATACAATTATATAAGATTTCAGATATCCAGCATTTAAGTGAGAAGATAGAGTACACATATATAACTACATTTAAGTCACACCATAATACATACACAATAAAGATTATCAGGGCATAAAAATAAAAAAGATCAGAAGGGAACCCTGGAAAAAAACTCATCTGAGCCCCATCCCTCAGCAAACTCTGCCTTGAGTTAAGAGAAGAAAAAGAGGGAAAAGTCTCATTCTACCCTAAATACTTTTTGGAATGTGGTCTCTGTTAGTCTCGAGTCACTTTCAAGTGGTCAGTCAGGTCAAAACTAAGTTTATAACAACACTGAAACATGATGTATCTTTTTCATTGTGTTGACATTTGCCTAATGGGGCAAGAACAAGGATGGGTAGGGATAGTATAATTGTGTATTCTTCACTACTTGGCAGAGAGAGAGAGAGAGAGAGAGAGAGAGAGAGAAAAGTAAAGAGAGGGAGAAGCCAGGGGCAAGTAGATCAATGAATTTTAATGTCACAGAAAAGGAAATGCCATAGATAGGTTTCAGATTCCACATTACAACTTGTCTTTAAGACATCATCACTTGTTGAGTTTTGGTGTGGTATCAGAGGATTATCCAGAACTGTCTCCTATTTTTTCCATGTCCATATCTGTGCAATGCTAGATTAATCCATATAATTTGACCCAAACTACATACCAAATAAGATTGTGTACAGAAGTTGAAATGAGAATCCAAATGTCTTTCTAAAAACCAGATAATACAAAGATCAGCCAAAATGTAAAATAATGCCACACTTACCATGGATTCTTTTATTTGGGGGAATATATTTATTTTTCATAAAATATATCCACTTATGGTAATGTTAGTGAACTTATTGCTAAAGGAATAAAGAACTGCTGAGCCCAATGAGCTGGGGAATCCCTGATTTAACCTTGCTTATTTCTTTCTTAGAATGTGATACTCAGCACAACTACACCTAGGTAGGACAGCTCCTAGGAAGACTAAGGCAGCGGTTCTCAAGCTGTTTTTGTCTCAGGAGCACTTCATGCTCTTAAAATGAATGAAAGGCAGGAGTTTGTTCTCTGTTTCTTAAAATATCTGCCTGGTTCTGGAAAATTATAGTTCCTGATTTATTCTATACCTCACACTGTCATAGTGTTAATTTGTCCAGTTCTGAGAACCAAAACAAAGAAAGATCCATTTTACTCTCCAGCACCCAGAGACAAAGCACAAATTCCCATCTCACATTAAAGGAACTATCCTGCCTCCCAAACAAGGGTCTGTTCCAAACACTTACTCAAATTTCAGTGAGTCAGAAGGAAACAGACAGATATTCATCTCCCTGAAACCTGGCTGACTTCCTGCAAAAGTCTGTGAGGAGCGTCAAGGTTGTGTGTCAGGGTTAGTGAGAGGCCACCTAAGAGCTCCCAGGTGATAGCTGGAATATTAGTAAGCAGGTGAATACCAGGCACAAGTCAGAAAGAAATGTCTTCCAGTGTTTGTCAGAATTAGTAAGTAGAGTTAGTAAGGGACTGATAAGAAAACAGGAAATAACCTGGGGCTATAAATTTTGGCCTCAAAGGGGTTAAATTTATAGTCATAACCCTTAGCAGTAGCGTCTAATGAATACAATTTAATACTTTAAAAATCTGAGATCTCAAGGGTCAGGCATGGTTACTCACATCCCAGCACTTTGAGTGTGGGAGGATCACTTGAGACCAGGAGTTTGAGGTTACAGTGAGCTATGATCACACCACTGTGCTCCAGCCTGGGCGACAAAGAAAGACCCTATCGCGAGAAAAAAAAGATAACAAAAGAGACACTTCAGTCCTACCCATGGTAAAGAGAAACATTTTATTTGCACCAATTATTTAGACTTTCCCATAGTGAGCCACTTTTCTTCCTAATGGCAGTATCCCAGGCACACCATCCCGCTCATAGGAGCACTGTATAAAGATCCACAATGGTGTTAATAATTATGATTGCACTGATAACTCCCCAGGCTTGGTTTATGAAAACTTTTGATTTTCTCACAAAAGTAGCCCCTGGGAGAAGTCTGGTTTCAGGAGTGTCCTGGGCCCGTATGGGTGAATTTTAAGATTAAAAAAATAAGATTTAGCCGGGCTCAGTAGTTCAGCCTGTAATCCCTTGCTTTGGGAGGCTGAGGTGAGTGGATTGCCTGAGCCCGCGAGTTCGAGACCTGCCTGGGCAGCG